TCATAAAGCATATTATATAATCATAAAAGCAACACAATCGTCTTTAAATAATTAAAAAAAAAATATAATAATTAAAACGTGCTAAAAATATAATAACATAATATTAATAGGTACGTCTTATAGTAGTACCATTAAAAATACTTATATAATCAAAAATCCTTACAACACCGATGTCTTAACTAAAAACATATATATATATATATGTTTATATATATATATTTATAAAATTATGCGTTGAAACAACCCCTATAATTTTCGACGTAGAAATGTTGATCCATCAACCCTCTTCCTCCCGTATATAAATACATGTACGCTCCCATTCGGTAACCTGTAAAAGAAATAAAACAATTAATACAAAATAAAGCCAATACTTGGCGTAGACTTTGTTAGGATAATTCATTAAACGAATAAAGATTAACGATAAAAATCTGACGACCTTCTAGTAGCTTCCCCGGTGATTATTCTAGCAGTAAAATTTTAAAGGCAACCCCAAAAACAAAAATTTAAAATGTTTGTAACTTCGATATCTTTTACAATAGAGATATACTAAGGGCATAATTGTGATCCCATTACCAAGTAGATCAACGTACTAATCGATTAATTAATCAAAATAAGTACACGTCCTAATATGCTCCCGTATATAGTTCTAAAATAACAGTCCCTACTCACTAGAAGTATAAATATGATGCTAACAATCAAATTTACCAAACAAAAGTGTTGTAACTTCGAGATCTTTTACAATAGAATTATAAAAATAATATAATTATGATACCATGACCAAGTAGATCACCACACTAGTCGACTAATTCATCAAAAAAATGACGTCCAAACTTGGGTGAAAACGCTCTCGTATACATCTCTGGGATAATAATTCCAACATATTGGGTATATAGATGTAACCCCTCACGACGATAATATTTTATTTTCCATTGACCATCGATATACTGCTCCCAGTATAACCTATAAATCATAAAACCAAATAAATAATAGCTATGCACTAAATAATATCGCGATACTAATAATCGAAATACAAAACAAAATCGTATAAATATCAAACGAACTCTCCCTCTAAATAATATCATTAAAATCAAAATTACTAGTATCCGACTTAATATCGTCACAAGGATAACATAACAAATACAAGAATAATAAATGTTAAAATATTTTATAATAATATAATTTAAGTGCCATTGAATAATTACAAGATATATATATATTAATCCCCAACTAACAATGAATATTTAATAAATATCCTATGAAACTTGTAAAGACAAAATTATAAATAAAAACGTAAGATAATAACCAAAATTTAACAATTGATAAAACTAATAAATTATATGGTACTAATAATTCTCTATGATTAAAATTGAAATTGCTTAAATGCAAATAATAATAATAACACTAATAACAATAATAATAACAATAATGAATTTGCATAAATTTTAATAAGACTTACCCTTAGAAATAATAATATATCCTTGACCATCAACATTTTAATTCAGCACTGCTTGTTTTTCTTGCTAAACCTGTTGACACCTAAAAACAAATAAAAATGAATATATGTTCTTAGACCATAAATTAATAAAAATATTAACGATAAGAAAATTTCAGAAACAAAATTTTGGTAGTAAAATCTAGCTTCAAATTCTACAAAATAATTCTAACAATTATACATATGATATATATATATATATATATGTATATATATATATATGCATCCACTCTTATAACCAATAATAAATGAATAATAAGACCTTAACAAATAAAATATTCACTTATAATAAGCTAATAACGAAATTTAACCAAATACTAGCGGCCCATAACACAAATAATAATTTAAAGTGATCTTACCTGAAAATCAAATAAGAATACCTTATATGACGAAGTCACATGACCCCCCTCCTGGATGCCTGAAAAATTAATGTAAAATAATATTTGGTCATAAGAATAATAATTTCTAACACGAGGCTGTCAATATTTTATAAAAATTTGCAAAGCATTAAGTATAACAAAATGGATAGCATCTATATGCTTAAGGCATATACACATGAGCCAATGAAAAGAAAGAAAAACCAACTAGCATAAATGAACAAAATAATATAAAATTTAGATTAAAATAATTAAAAAATCAGAATAAGGCCAATGAACATCATCAAAAATCAACCATGAACATTTACGATCACACTCTTCTATATATGAATGCATGTACCAAGCCTTATAAAATATTAACACTTCATATAAAAAGTTTTCAACTATAATAATCCCCCTTTTTCAAGTACTTTAATGACAAAATTTCATAATACCAAACCTTATTAAGTATAATTATGTCAGAATATTACTTACTAGTAAGTCTTCATATGACGAAAATATATGGACACCCTATATTCGTGTTCCTACTCACCGGGTACCCCCCTGGCAAAAGTATCGCCTGAATAAATAAAATAATAATATTAAGGATGGACACCTATAGCTACTATGAATATAAAATGTATATACACAATTGTAAAATGCACGAACATTTACATATGAGCACTCTTATACGTATGTATACATATATATATATATATATATATATATATATATGTACGTGCATATGAACATATGCAAATTTAATAATGTAAGACTAAAACCTTCCGAGAAATAAATAGAGCCCAGGTACATAATGTGCAAAATGACACTCGAAAAATAGAATCTAAATTCAAAAACTTTATTAAATAAAAATAAAAAATTACAACAATGAATATAATGACAGCAACTTCTTACCATGCATAATATACATGTATCATTAAGTCAAAGGAAATAAAACGTGAAAACACGAGAGAAATAGAGAAATAATATGTGTACTTACGAATAATACTGCACAAAGAATATTATGCGTATAACTCTACGAGTCGAACAAGCGTGCAAGGCCAAGTCCAGCACGTCGCGTTATCTCCATTGGAATTTTTAAACATCCTCTCCCGACCTAAAGGCAGAGGGAAGATCTAAATTCGCGCTCGCATGAATGCAAACCAAATTAATACATCGACTTCTCTTTTATAATTAAGCATTAACAAAGCATTTTCTATTAATATCACACTATTATCCAGTATCATATACCTCTATATACATATATATGCATACTATATGTGACATATGAACTGACTACATATACACATATGCATACATATTTTATAACAAAATCCAATAAAATAAAAGTAGAGACGTAATAAACAATCGTCAGGACAAAAAATTAACAAATATTAATAGATAAAAATATACACCTTTATATATATATGCATACTATATGTAACCTATAAATCGAATAAATTTACATATATGCACATATATTTTATAACCAAACTCAATAAAATAACGGTATAAATACAATAAATACGCGTCGCGATAGAAATTGACACATATATATATTAACATGTCCAGAAATCTCCCTATATATATATGCATACTATATGTAACATATAAATTGAATAAATTTACATATACACATATATATTTTATAACAAAACTCAATAAAATAAAGGTATAAATACAATAAATAAGCGTTGCGATGGAAATTTACAAATATATATCTTAACTTGTCCAAAATTATCCCTATACATACGCATACTATATGTAACATACAAATTGACTAAATTTACATATACGCATATATATTTTATAACCAAATTCAATAAAATAACGGTATAAATACAATAAATACGCGTCGCGATAGAAATTGATACATATATATATATTAACTTGTCCAACAATATCCCTATATGTATATGCATGCTATATGCATATACATTTTGTAACAAATTTAACAATAAAACAAAGGAGGAGATATAATAGACTGCTACCGCGACAAAATTAATCAGCACACAAAACATATATATATATATATTACGAATATTAACAAATAATTAATATTAATAACCCCAAGATTTTATACAATAATTATTAATCTTATACGATGATTATTAAATACGATTCAGTAAAAACTTGCTGAAATCAATTTTCATAAGCAATATGCGAATACATATCTATACATATATATATATATATATATATGTGCTAATATAAAAGTCGCCCAAATGAAAATCTTCAAAGAATAAAATATTGTCAGAATCAAAAGACCTCTTGAATAAAAGATCACGGTAGAGCGTGCAATGAATTCTTCGAGCACATCCGTCGTGATCATTCTTAGAAGTAAAACGAGCCGCTTTTTCATACGTTGTTCCGAGAACTGTAAGAATAAAATTTCTTTTAGCGACATAATAACTATTAAGCGAAGCGATAATTAATTTCCATATATTCTTATTGTAAAATTTATTGTAATAATAATGGCTTAACGCATTAGAATTTATTAAAATATTATTCATAGACTTGAGTAATCATTAAAAGTCGACTTTGAAAATTTTAAAATATATACATATAAAACCACAAAAATTCTAATTGTTAAAGCCTTTATTAAATAAATAAAAATATATGATAAATCTTAATAATTAGTCTTAAGATAATTATTAAACCTGGAAATAATACGTGTAATATGCCAATTTAAACCACGTAAACGAATTTTAAAAGGTAATTCATTAAAAAATATTACTGTTACTAATGTGTCTTATAAAGAGAAAGAATGCAGTGAGCATTCTTCGAAGGACATCCAGCATATCTATTTTTAGAAAAAGAGATAAGCCATCTTCGCATCCGTTGCGTTAGAATCTGCAATCCAAATGCTAAATTTTTCTTTACTAATTATTACTAATTATTAATTTACTAAATATTAATTAATTACTAATTATTAATTTTAACTATATACGCACCATTGTAAAAATCATTGTAATAATAATGGTTTAATACATCAGAATTTACCAAAATATCACTTAAAATTTAAACAATTGTTATAAATCGAACTCAAATTTTCTAATAACATAAATACGATATTATAAAAAAATTCTGATTGTTAAAAATCATTATTAAAAATTATTCTAAAATTATTTAATAAATCTAAGACGCAAGACTTGCAATCCCTACCACGAAACTCTCACCCACCACATCGCAAACTCATAGCAGGAAGGGATAGCTCCAGCAGCCGACCCACCAATCATCAAAAAGGCCCACCTCTTCTCCCTACCATTAAACATCGAACCAGAGGAAGGTATATAAGGCCGCCGCCGCCGCCGCCGGTGTCTCTCTGCGCCATTAACTCACCTGTGTCTCAGCTCTCTCTACGCCCATCAGATCTCCAGCTCTCGAAGAGGAAAAACTTAGAAGCCTACCGGACACCTTAACTTATTCGAAAATAACTTAGTCGCGATTTTGATTTTTCTTTCGGGACTTAGTCTCAATCTCTATGAAGAGAGCTGTATCAACATTAACACTTTAATAAAGTGCTACCATCCAGCAACCTCTGAGTCTTTGGCCATTCTCTGCGCTGCCTTGCCACTTCTTCAGGTTCTCACCGAGGTCGAGCAATCCAGGGAAGGAGCAGCGGTGCCTTTATTCTTCCATTGATCCCGTCATCCGGTAAGGAAATAATAAAATAATAATCATTCTTAATCAACCTTGATAATAACTTCGTATATTAGGTTGATTTATTCTAAATATATTGACTATTTTCCCAGAATTTTACCTGTCCGTATACAGACTTTAAATTTTTCTTTCGAGTTGAATTATTTAAATTTCAACCGATCCTCTGAGAACGCTCGAAGCGTATCCTAGAGTGTAGCGTCGTTCGAGTTAGTCACTCGATGTGCATTGAGTAGCAAATTCTACTCCTCTGCCGCTTTCACGGAGAGCTTCTTTGAAAGAATTTCTCCGTGGATCCTGTGCCGCTGTGACGTGACGTCTTGCACATCGATACTAGACTCAGAATCTAAGACTCGCTCCTAGAGGATCTGTCGAAATAATAGAATTAATGCACTGGCTTACAAGTTAACTATCGAAAACATTTTATGAATTTTATACTTATCTGAAGTAAGCCAGCCGCTTCCACCCGTATCCTCGTCTGTATCCTTGAATCTCCAGACCTCTCGGTGCAGCCGCATGCTCCTGGAAATTCAGTATATGCTAGATAAATTATCATCCGTTGTACGACAATTTTCCCCGAATCCTACCTGTCCGTATACAGACTTTAAATTTTTCTTTCGAGTTGAATAATTTAAATTTCAACCGGCCCTCTGAGAACGCTCGAAGCGTATCCTAGAGTGTAGCGTCGTTCGAGTTAGTCACTCGATGTGCATTGAGTAGCAAATTCTACTCCTCTGCCGCTTTCACGGAGAGCTTCTCTGAAAGAATTTCTCCGTGGATCCTGTGCCGCTGTGACGTGACGTCTTGCACATCGATACTAGACTCAGAATCTAAGACTCGCTCCTAGAGGATCTGTCGAAATAATAGAATTTATGCACTGGCTTACAAGTTAACTATCAAAACATTTTATGAATTTTATACTTATCTGAAGTAAGCCAGCCGCTTCCACCCGTATCCTCGTCTGTATCCTTGAATCTCCAGACCTCTCGGTGCAGCCGCATGCTTTTGGAAATTCAGTATATGCTAGATAAATTATCATCCGTTGTACGACAATTTTCCCAGAATCCTACCTGTCCGTATACAGACTTTAAATTTTTCTTTCGAGTGAATGATTTAAATTTCAACCGACCCTCTGAGAACGCTCGAAGCGTATCCTAGAGTGTAGCGTCGTTCGAGTTAGTCACTCGATGTGCATTGAGTAGCAAATTCTACTCCTCTGCCGCTTTCACGGAGAGCTTCTCTGAAAGAATTCCTCCGTGGATCCTGTGCCGCTGTGACGTGACGTCTTGCACATCGATACTAGACTCAGAATCTAAGACTCGCTCCTAGAGGATCTGTCGAAATAATAGAATTAATGCACTGGCTTACAAGTTAACTATCAAAACATTTTATGAATTTTATACTTATCTGAAGTAAGCCAGCCGCTCTTACCCGTACCCTTGTCTGTACCCTCTGAATCTCCGGACCTCTCGGTGCAACCGCATGCCCCTGAAAAATTCAAAATATATTAAATAAATCATTAATTGCTGTACCCCAATGAACTGTATATAGCCGAACGTTTCAACCATGATATGAGAACGAGTGAGATATACTATCATAATCTACATTCGTTTATCTCATAATAATCCGTTAAGCCGTATTATTCGTCTTAACTCTATGAACCACCTTGCTGTGACTACATTTACCTTATAAAACCATTCATCTTAACAGGTACCTTTCTACGCATCATCGTAAGTAAACCCCTTTTGTGTTAAATCAATCGCATCAAACATACTAAATAGTCGTATTCCCTCGATAGATGGTTAACCCTCGCCGAACTTCTTCCGTTGGACGCGAAATTCCCCTCCGTGCCGCGGGTATACGCCGCAGGCGTGCCTCCCGGTCGGTACTTAGGCTCCCTACAGCTCGTCAGTTGTTTGCCGACGAGAACGACTTAACAAGCAGAGTAACAAGGTACTCTCCAGTGCGTAGTTTCGCGCCCTCCCGCGCATACCCTTATCGTCCTCCCCGAAACCCTCCAGCGGTTCTTCAAGAGGAACAACAGCCCAGAGCCAGGCCGCCATCGCCCAATTACTCCCCCATCCAGGATTCATCTAATCCCAGCTACTCGCCGGTCAGGACACCGGAAGATCTTCCTTCCATACCGGAAGAACGAAGACCCATAGAACAAAGCACAGAAACTGAGGCAGGTCCATCCAACCCAGGTCAAGTTCTGGATCCCCCTGAACCAAATTTCTACCCGGAACCAGAGGACCTAGTCTTACCCAGCAGTATCCAACCCCTCGCAGGACTAACAGACGAAGATTTTATCGAGATCTACGAATACTTGCAGCGAGATAATTTCTTCAACAACCGCGAATAATAACCATATCTAGATATCGCCTTAGAAATGCTATAGAGAAGAACATTAACTATATACACACATCTATACGTATAACGATATACACTATCTACAACTGTCAAATAATAACAATAATAACAATAATAAAGGATTTGTAAAGCTCTAAGGAAGTAAACTAATAAAAGAAAACAGATCAAAAAGGATAAATTGGGTCAGGTTCAACGCACCTAATCTATTTCCCATCGTCAATCCCTCTCCTGAAAGAAGCGCAAAAGATTCTTAGTCTCTCGGCGTCCTAGGGTATAGCCGGCTTGGCAGGTTGCCCTGAAAAAGAAATAGAGAGAAGTTACAATTGCGTAACAAATAAATACGTGAGAAGTTACGATCGAGACGTAACAACGAAATCTCAAAACGTAACAATATACATGTACCATTAAGTCGAGGGAAATAAAACGTGAAAACACGAGAAAAATAAAGAAATAATATGTGTACTTACGGATAATATTGTACGAAGAATATTATGCGTATAACTCTACAAGTCGAATAAACGTGCAAGGCCAAGTCCAGCACGTCGCGTTATCTCCATTGGAATTTTTAAACATCCTCTCCCGACCTAAAGGCAGAGGGAAGATCTAAATTCGCGCTCGCATGAGTGTAGATCAAATTAATACATCTACTTTTCTTTTATAATTAAGCATTAACAAAGTATTTTCTATTAATATCACACTATTATCCAGTATCATATACCTTTATATATATAGTATATGCATACTATATGTAACATGTGAACTGACTACATGTACACATATGCATATATATTTTATAACAAAATCCAATAAAATAAAAAAGTAAAAACGTAATAAACAATCGTCAGGACGAAAAATTAACATATATTAATATATAAAAATATACACCTTTATATATATATATGCATACTATATATAACCTATAAATCGAATAAATTTACACATATGCATATATATTTTATAACCAAACTCAATAAAATAACGGTATAAATACAATAAATACGCGTCGCGATAGAAATTGACAAATATATATATTAACTTGTCCAAAATTATCCCCATATATATGCATACTATATGTAATATATAAATTGAATAAATTTACATATACGCATATATATTTTATAACCAAACTCAATGAAATAAAGGTATAAATACAATAAATACGCGTCGCGATAGAAATTGACACATATATATATTAACATGTCCAGAAATATCCCCATATATATGCATACTATATGTAATATATAAATTGAATAAATTTACATATACGCATATATATTTTATAACCAAACTCAATGAAATAAAGGTATAAATACAATAAATACGCATCGCGATAGAAATTGACACATATATATATTAACATGTCCAGAAATATCCCCATATATATGCATACTATATGTAACATATAAATTGAATAAATTTGCATATACGCATATATATTTTATAACAAAACTCAATAAAATAAAGGTATAAATACAATAAATACGCGTCGCGATAGAAATTGACACATATATATATTAACATGTCCAGAAATATCCCCATATATATGCATACTATATGTAACATATAAATTGAATAAATTTACATATACGCATATATATTTTATAACCAAACTCAATAAAATAAAGGTATAAATACAATAAATACGCGTCGCGATAGAAATTGACACATATATATATTAACATGTCCAGAAATATCCCCATATATATGCATACTATATGTAACATATAAATTGAATAAATTTACATATACGCATATATACTTTATAACAAAACTCAATAAAATAAAGGTATAAATACAATAAATACGCGTCGCGATAGAAATTGACACATATATATATTAACATGTCCAGAAATATCCCTATATATATGCATACTGTATGTAGCATATGAATCGAATAAATTTACATATACGCATATATACTTTATAACAAAACTAACTAAAATAAAGGTATAAATACAATAAACACGCGTCGCGATAGAAATTGACACATATATATATTAACATGTCCAGAAATATCCCTATATATATGCATACTATATGTAACATATAAATTGAATAAATTTACATATAAGCATATATATTTTATAACCAAACTCAATAAAATAAAGGTATAAATACAATAAATACGCGTCGCGATAGAAATTGACACATATATATATTAACATGTCCAGAAATATCCCTATATATATATGCATACTATATGCATATATACTTTGTAACAAACTTAACGATAAAACAAAGGAAGAGATATAATAGACTGCTACCGCGACAAAATTAATCGGCACACAAAACATATATATATATATATATATATATATATATATTACGAATGTTAACAAATAATTAATATTAATAACCCCAAGATCTTATACAATAATTATTAATCTTATACAATGATTATTAAATACGATTCAGTAAAAACTTGCCAAAATCAATTTTCATAAGTAATATGCGAATACATATCTATACATATACATATATATATATATATATATATGTGCTAACATAAAAGTCGCCCAAACTCAAAAATCTTCAAAGAATAAAATATTGTCAAAATCAAAAGACCTCTTGAATAAAAGATCACGGTAGAGTGTGCAATGAATTCTTCGAGCACATCCGTCGTAATCATTCTTAGAAGTAAAATGAGCCGCTTTTTCATATGTAATTCTGAGAACTGTAGGAATGAAATTTCTTTTAGCGATATAACAACTATTAAGTAAAGCGATAATTAATTTCCATATATTCTTATTGTAAAATTTATTGTAATAATAATGGCTTAACGCATTAGAATTTATTAAAATATTATTCATAGACTTGAGTAATCATTAAAAGTCGACTTTGAAAATTTTAAAATATATACCTATAAAACCACAAAAAATTCTAATTGTTGAAGCCTTTATTAAATAAATAAAAATATATCTTGTAAATGATAAACCTCGATAATTAGTCTTACGATAATTATTGAACCTAGAAATATTACTTGTAATATGTCAGTTTAAGCCACGTAAACGAATTTTAAAAGGTAATTCATTTAAAAAATATTACTGTTACTAACGTGTCTTATAAAGAGAAAGAATGCGATGAGCATTCTTCGAAGGACACCCAGCATATCTATTTTTAGAAAAAGAGATAAGCCATCTTCGCATCCGTTGCGTTAGAACCTGCAAAGAAAAACCTCTTATAGCAATCCAAATGCTAAATTTTTCTTTACTAATTATTACTAATTATTAATTTACTAATTATTAATTAATTACTAATTATTAATTTTAAATATATATGCACCATTGTGAAAATCATTGTAATAATAATGGTTTAATACATCAGAATTTACCAAAATATCACTTAAAATTTAAACAATTGCTATAAATCGAACTCAAATTTTCTAATGACATAAATATGATATTATAAAAAATTCTGATTGTTAAAAATCATTATTAAAAATTATTCTAAAATTATTTAATAAATCTAAGACTCAAGACTTGCAATCCCTACCACAAAACTCTCACCCACCACATCGCAAACTCATAGCAGGAAGGGATAGCTCCAGCAGCCGACCCACCAATCACCGAAGAGGCCCACCTCTTCTCCCCACCATTAAACATCGAACCAGAGGAAGGGACTTAAGGCACCTCGGGCGTCAAGTCTCGGCCCCCCCCCCTCTACGCTATAAAATCTCCAACTCTCAGCCCTCTACGCCCACTAGATCTCCAGCTCTCGAAGAGGAAAAACCTAGAAGCCATTAGATCTCCAGCTCTCGAAGAGGAAAAACCTAGAAGCCTACCGGACACCTTAACTTATTCGAAAATAACTTAGTCGCGATTTTGATTTTTTTTCTTTCGGGACTTAGTCTCAATCTCTATTAAGAGAGTTGTATCAACACCAACACTTTAATAAAGTGCTACCATCCAGCAACCTCTGAGTCTTTGGCCATTCTCTGCGCTGCCTTGCCACTTCTTCAGGTTCTCACCGAGGTCGAGCAATCCAGGGAAGGAGCAGCGGTGCCTTTATTCATCCACTGATCCCGTCATCCGGTAAGGAAATAATAGAATAATAATCATTCTTAATCAACCTTGATAATAACTTTGTATATTAGTTTGATTTATTCTAGATATATTGACAATTTTCCCAGAATCTTACTTGCCCGTATACAGACTTTAAATTTTTCTTTCGAGTTGAATTATTTAAATTTCAACCGATCCTCTGAGAACGCTCAAAGCGTATCCTAGAGTGTAGCGTCGTTCGAGTTAGTCACTCGATGTGCATTGAGTAGCAAATTCTACTCCTCTGCCGCTTTCACGGAGAGCTTCTCTGAAAGAATTTCTCCGTGGATCCTGTGCCGCTGTGACGTGACGTCTTGCACATCGATACTAGACTCAGAATCTAAGACTCGCTCCTAGAGGATCTGTCGAAATAATAGAATTAATGCACTGGCTTACAAG